TGCCAGCTGACTGGTGATATCAACTACTGGGGTGTTGGCTGATGTGCATTTTGCTTGATTTCTTGGGTTCAAACGTGAAGTCGTAGCGGTTAGCACTTGTGCGGATAACTTAAACCTCACTTAGGATAATCGTGAATACGCGTCAGACTCAAAATCACCGAGGCGGTAGTCCAAAACTGGCTATATGGACAGCAGTACCTAGTGTGAATATTGAATTCAGATGCGTCTTGGTCGTGTCGAGACGTAGAATTGATAAAACGACCAGCTTCGGTGATTAGACTCTTAAGAACGCCTTGAGTGGGAAGTTTGGACTTTACCACCGAAAATCCCTCAAATTTGGCGTGTCATAATTAAAAAAACATAGGACCTCATCCTAAGTTTCGTCTTGTGTTTGACGCGTAAGATCTCGAGATGTACACGGCTTCGTGATCACAGACTTGTGTTGCATGGATTGCCTGGTTCAACATGGAAATTTTGACGGCGTGCCCTATAAAGGTAGGTTGGTCGAAGCTGTTGCTAGCAGTTGGAGAGCGTCGGCGCAAAATTGAATAGCTGTACAATTTGAAGAACCTCTGTTGAAAGCCGACCAGTAGCGCGGTTGGTGAATACGGGGGATTGCGTCCCATAAATTCGAGCTTGCTCGTCCTTGTTTCTTTTTAACACCGTCAGGCCCAGACTGACCTTTCTAGCAACCATATTGGATGTGCGCCTGGAAAACCAGTGCGCTGGCTCAGTTCTTGTAGCTGTTAAACTTGACGTTGACTGTGTAGCTTGTATTGGAGAGGGTCATCGCAAACTTGAATTGCTGTACAACGCTGAAAGCTTATCTTGCAAGTCAGCCAGTAGCGCGGCTGGTAAACATGAGGGGAATTCGCGTCTTAAAAGTTCAATAACCCGAATTGGATCCGAGCTTGCTTGTGCTTTTGTTGTTGTGAACCTGTCAGGATCAGTTCGATCTTTCTAGCAACTGTACTGGATGTCCGTTTGAGAAGACGGTGTGATGGGTGTCATTCTTGTAGCTGTGAGACTTGTCATCGACACCGCCGTTGACAGTGTATCTTGTATCGTAGATATATAGAAGTAGTTGAGATATTCAAATC